GTTGCGGACATCCTCACGAAGTATGTGGAAGCAGAGACCCTGTTTAAGCACATGGCGACCATGAACCTGCGGCTCGTGCCGCTCGGAGCAGTGGTGGTGAGCGCGCTGCTACCGACGGTGCGCGGCCAGGAGACGGAGGAGGGCGCCAAAGGCGCGCCCTGGCTACTGATTGTGATGGCTTTGAGCATAGCGTTGCTGTCTTTTCTAGTAGGCTGTTGTGCTGGAGCCAGAGCGGGCTCCACTGCGGTTTGCTACGAGCGTCCCGAGACGCTGAGTGATGACAGCGCAGCTCCTGAGCAGACCGCAAGCGACGGAGATGCGAGAGTGCAGCTAGTTCTTTCAAGGCTGACAGTGCCTGACCTACGAGCTATTGCTCGTGCGAACAAGATCGGCCTTGGGGTGGGCTATGTGAGGAAGCAGCGCCTGATCGAGATGATCATCTCTGCTGGCGCGAGCCCCACCTGCGAGCAGGCAGAGCGCCTAGAGAGCGTTTGTGCCGTTCTTTCCAAGGCTGGTCTGAGTTGTTTTGTGCAGCCACGCCTGCTGTTCACGAGGCAGGGGCTGGAGAGTCATTTGGTGCTGTTAGAGACGGCTTGCACGCCGTTGCGGAAGATCTCGGATTGATCACCGAGATTGGAAGCAGTGATGCAGTTTTTCGGCCCTTCACCGCTCCATGCCTGAGGAGAGGTGTTCGGATATGTAACAATTCAGAGGGGTACCCCAGCAGGTATTCCCAGGGCCAGGCTGAAGACAGAGAATGAGTTCTTGCATCGTCGCCATATTTTGGCTCAAGAAAAATATCCCCTCCCATCCAGCACCAGAGTTTGGGGGAGGGAGATTGCTTTGCAAAAAGGAACCGCTCTGCATGTTACCAGCGAGCAGCCAGGAATGCGAAGAAGGTACGATCATACATCTCGACGCGGTGTCCAGCGACATCCCCAATCTGAAAAGGGACCGTCCCAGAGTCGCACACGTTTGCACTTCTGGCCATGAGTTTAGCAAAAGTAGCGAGCGAGACCCCGCATTTTGGAAAGGACCCGCCCTCTCTTGTCTTTTTGGATGTAAGGGAGTCGGCAGCGAGATTTACTTTTTCGGCGGCGAGCGAGGGCGTGAAGTGAGAAGAAGCAGAAGAAGACGACTAACGACTTCTCAGAAGGCTGCGGGGCTTCTCAGAAGCCCTCGCGCCTTCCGCGAAGTGTTTTGTGTCTTCGGGGAAGGCTTGCACAACTTCTCTGAAGGCTGGGGGACTTCTCGGCCTTCTGAGAGGGCCCGCCCCCTCACTCCCGCCCCCCTGGGCTGGCCGCCGCTGTGTGGATGTGGAGCAGTCGCCAGCGAGGGTCCCAATGAAAGAGGGAGCTGCCCTCCATCCGCGCAGCCGCCGCAAGCATTTGAGACGAGTGTGCGCGGCGCGTCGGCGAGAGGCCTCATTTTGAAGAGGAGCCACTTCTCCTCCTCCTCCTCCTCCTCCTCCTCCTCCTCCTCCTCCTCCCCCTCCTCCTCCACCAGGCTTCACTGTTGTCAGCTCGTGGGACGGGTCTGCGCCGCGCCAGGGCGAGAGCCGCACCGGCAGAAGGCACCGCTCTCCGTCCGTGTTTGGCTGCTGCAGGCTCGAGTGTGCGCGGCGCTCTGGCGAGAGCCGCGCTGTGAGAAGCAGCCGCTCGAATCGGAGGGTACCAACTATACACCAACACCGATTTTGGCCAGGCCAATCCTGGGCCCAGGATCGGTGTATATGCCTTCTTGCCCCAGGCAGGAGGGCGTATACACCGATCCTGGGCCCAGGATGATCCTGGCCGGGATCGGTGTTGGTGTATAGTTGGTGCCCTCCTATCGAAGGATTGCAAAAAACCCAGGATTGCAAAAAAGGATTGCAAAAAACCCGCGAAGGTTTTTTGTTGCAATCCTTCGTTCAAGGGTTTTTCTGCAGTCCTTCATCCGCGTGACCGTTGCTGCGGCTTGTTCAGGCGGCGACTGTGCGCGGCGCGGAACGCGAGGGCCCCGCCCAGAAGAGGAGCAGCCCTTCACCCGCGTGACAACTGCACGCTTTCTTCTTTGACCGGTGTGCGCGGCGCTTAGGCGACAGCAGGGGTAGGCTTACACGGTGGTTTGGCGATTTCCTTGGGCCGTTTCCGTTTCGACTTCGTTTTGCGGTACAGGTGGATGGAAGACAACGCGAGGGACAACGATAACAAAACGAAAACGAACAGCACCGTTTAGGTTCAGCCTTGGGCGGTAGCTACGTGCTGGTGCGATCCGTGCTCCACCGTGTGCCCGTTGCAGACTGCAGGCTTCGGGCACCCGCAATCGGTGCGGGGACGTGTCTCCCCAGCGACACGCCCAGGCCCCCCTGAATACCGACACCATCTGGGGATGCGCGGTGGACGAGCTATACTTCAAGGGAAGGATTGGCGTTTACTGCACGGCCCATTTCGTGCACTAAATAGCCTTGCTCTGTTCGATTCCGCCTCGCTTGTCGGGGTGGTTATGATATTTTTTTTTTGTGCCCTTTGTGTGTATATACATATATAGATATATGTATATAGATAAAAATTATTCGGAAAAGAGATGGAGAAGGATGCTATTGCCCAACTCTTCCCTCTCCCAACTACGTCCTGCAAGTCTCCCGCCCTCTCCGCGTGTTTTTTTTCATGCACAGGGTGTCAAACGTGCTCTCCCATATGCTTTTGAAGTGGAACGTCTTCGGTGTTTCAACATGATGCTCCGCTGCAGCGTGGGCCTCGTGACAGCTTCGGCGCTTTCGCCACGGCGCGGGCCACGTTTCTGGATTCGAGTGCTCCCTCGTCGTTGTCGCCCCCTTGCCTTCCCCTCTCCCGCCTTCCCCTGACCCTCCCGCTCGTTCCGCTCCGCCTCTAGCTGCTGCTGGTCCTCCTCGTCTGCCTCACACTTACCGTCCTGCTCCTCCGCCACCCCCTCCTCCACTATACCGTGGTGAGGTTGTTGTTGATGGTGGTCGTGACGATTCTGATCGCAACGACGACGCTGCCGACGACGACGAGGGCGAACCAGGATCTCACTCAGATGGTGTTGATGTGAACATTGATGATGTTTTCATATGATGATGGCAATCATGATGATGACCATGCTGATGTTGATGTGGTGGTGATGATGCCAATGATGGTGGTGATGATGATGCTGTGAGGTTGACGAGGGTGATGCCGATGATGATGAGTTGGGTGATGATGCTGATGATGTTGATGATGCTGATCATGATACTTGCAATGTGGCTGAGGAGGATGCTTATGCTGATGGTAGTGATGGGGATGATGATGAAGACGACCACTGAGGATGGTACTGGTGATGATGGTGATGGTGATGGCGATGGTGATGGTGATGATACTGGTAATGCTGCTGCTGCTGCTGCTGCTTCCGGGGACGATTATGCTACTGATGATGTTAATGGTGATGACGGTGATGATGGTGATTATGATGAAGCTGTTGCTGATGAGGATGACGATCCTGAGGCTGCTGCTGCTGATGATGATGGCGATGGCGATGAGTTGGGTGATGATGACGATGATGATAATGATGTTGATGATGGTAAGAATACCGAGGAGACTGATTTGGTTGATGATGCTGATGATGATGGGAATGAAGCTGACGACGACCACGATTAGGAATATGCTACTGGTGATAGAGCTGATGGTGGTGGTGATGGTGCTGGTGATGGTGATGATGAGGTCGATGGTGATCATGATGAAGCTGAAGATGATGATGCTGGTGATTCTGATCAGGATGGTGATGCTGCTGATGATACTTATGCCGATGACAACGATGACTATGATTATGGTAATGATGATTCTGATGGTGATGATGCTGATGATACTGATGATGATGATACTGATGATCATGATGCTAATTATCATGATGATGCTGATGATGATGATGATGATGATGATGCTGGCGATGCTGCGGATGATGATGATGATGATGATGATGATGATGATGATGATGATGCTGATGATGACAATGATGATGATTGTGATGATGATGTTGATGATCTTAATCATGATGCTGATGCTGATGCTGATGATGCTGCTGATGAGGATGCTGCTGATGATGCTGACGACGAGGTTTATGATGATTATGCTGCTTCTGATGATGATATTGAGAATGATGCGACTGCTGAGCGATGATGACGATCATCTTGATGATGAGTATGATGATGTCAATGATGCTGGTGATGCTCGTGATGCTAATGACACGATGGTGATGCTGATGGTGATGGTGATGCTGGTGGTGATGATGATGCTGATGGTGCTGGTGCTGGTGCTGGTGATGATGATGATGATGATGATGATGATGATGATGATGATGATGATGCTGATGATGATGATGATGAGGATGATGATGATGATGATGGTGCTGCTGATGATGATGATCATCATCATCATCATGATGATGATTACGATGACGCTGCTGCTGATGATACTGCTGATGGTGGTGATTCTGATGCTGTTGATACTGCTGAGAATGATGATGACGACGATGCTGATTCTGATGCTGATGCTGCTGACGATGGTGATATTGATGCTGATTATTATGATGATGCTGATGATGACGATGATGATGACGATGACGATGACGATGCCGATGATGATGATGATGATGATGATGATGATGATGATGATGATGATGATGATGATGATGATGGTGATGATGATGATGCCGATGACGATGACGACGACGAGGAGGATGACGATGATGATGATGCTGCTGATGCTTCCGATGATGCTGCTGATGATGATGGTTGTGCTGATGATGCTGCTGATGATGTTCAGATAATGACGAGGATGAGGATGAGGATGATGATGAGGATGCTGATGCTGATGATGCTGATGCTGCTGCTGCTGATGATGCTGCTGCTGATGCTGCTGATGATTACGGTGATTAGGGAGGAGGACGATGAGGGACGAGGGAGGGAGGAGGACGATGAGAGAGGGGGTCGATGAGGGACGAGAGGGAGGGGGGCCGACCCTGAGGACTGGCGCGCGCTGGCCGTGGCGCCGCTGGAGCTGCGGGCCGACCGCGAGGCGGGGGGGGGGGGCGGGGCGCCGCCCTGGTTGTGTGCCGAGGAGCGGTGGGGAGGAAGGCGAGGAGGAGGAGGGCGAGTAGGATGGAGAGGAGGAGATGGAAAAGGAGGAGGAGGAGGAGGAGGAGGAGGAGGAGGAGGAGGAGGAGGGCGAGGAGGAGGGCGAGGAGGAAGGCGACTAAGAAGAGAAGAAGGAGGAGGAGGAGGAGGAGGAGGGTGAGGAGGAGGGCGATGCGGAGGGCGAGGAGGAGGGAGAGGAGGAGGAGGAGGACGAGGAGGAGGAGGAGGAGGATGAGGAGGAGGAGGTGGGCGAGGAGGAGGGCGAGGAGGAGGGCGAGAAGAAGGGAGAGCGATCCGGGGTTTGTGATGCGCCACCCGAATCCCCCTCACACACACTCTGTCTCTCTCTCTCTCTCTATTTTGTGTCCCCCTCTCCCATTTCTCTCCACCCTCTCCCGCCCAGGCCCCGGAGGCTCCCAAAAAGAGACCGGCACCCCCATGGGGACTTCAGGGCATGCCAGTATTGAGTGCCTTCCCACGAAGCCGTCGCCTTTGGCGACAGGCCTCGCATTCCGCATGAATTCGACCACTCGCCAGGTAGGAGGAGGCGTAGGGGAGTTGCGGGAGGAGGATGGCAGGCTGCATGCCAGGGCGGCCGTGCAGAGGGGCGTGAGAGAAGGGGGGGTGGCGGAGGTGGACGGTCGACGCCACAACATGGGACACGATGTGCCCAGACATGCAACGACGTGATTTTTAATGCGTCCCCCCAGGGCTAGTTTTTCGCCCCGGATCCACTGATGGCCCCGGCACTCGAGAGCCCCCGGGGGCCGACATCGAGGAGAAACGCCAGGATTGAAAAAGTCACGTCGTCGGAGGTCTGGGCATGTGTGCCCCTCCTCTGCTCGGGCTCTTCCGCCCCCCCGTTGCCCCTGCCCGAGGTCATGCTCAGCGTGGTGCGGCAGAAGGGAACCCTGATGGCCGAGGTGCAGGGGCCGCTCGCCCTGGACCGGCAGGACGGCGCGCTTCTGCCCCCGAGCGGCTGCCTGCTTCTCTCCGCCCCAGGTGCAGGATGATGATGATGATGATGATGATGATGATGATGATGATGATGATGATGATGATGATGATGATGATGATGATGATGATGATGATGATGATGATGATGATGATGATGATGTGATGATGATGATGATGATGATGATGATGATGATGATGATGATGAGGAGGAGGAGGGAGGAGGAGGGAGGAGATGCAGGAGGAGGAGGAGGAGGAGGGGGACGGGATGCAGGAGGAGGAGGAGGAGGAGGAGGAGGAGGAGGAGATGCAGGAGGAGGAGGAGGAGGAGGAGAGGAGAGATGGATGGAGGTATGGATGGATGGAGGGAGAGGAGGGGGAGGAGGAGGGTGGGAGGGAGGGAGGGAGGGAGGGGAGAGAGGGGAGATGATGATGAAGAAGATGATGATGATGATGATGATGATGATGATGCTGATGCTGATGATGATGATGATGATGATGATGATGATCACGATGATGATGAATGATGGTGGTGATGATGCTCATGGTGGTGATGATGATGACAACGATGCCGATGACGATGACGATGAGGATGATGGTGATGATGACTTTGGTGATAATGCTGATGATGCTGATGTGCTGATGATGCTGCTGCTGATGACGATCATGCTGATGATGCTGCTGATGATGATGCTGATGCTGATGTTTATGCTGATGCTGATGCTGATGCTTATGCTGTTGATGATGGTGATGATGATGAACGTGATGCTGATGACGATGATGATGATGGTGCTGATTATGATGCTTATGACCGTGGTGATGATAATGGTGATAACGATGACGATGACGATGACGATGATGATGATGATGATGATGATGATGATGATGATGATGATGATGGTAGTGCTGATTCTGATGATTACGATGGTGATGATACTGATGATGATGATGGTGATGCTGATGATGATGATGATGATGCTTACGACGACGATGATGATGAAGATGAATCAGAAGATGCTGATGATGCTGATGCTGTTGCTGATGCTGCTGATAATAGTGATGATAATGAACGTGAAGATGACGATGATGCTGCTGCTGATGATGATGCTGATGATGGTGGTGGCAGTGCTGGTGGTGATGCTGATGATGATGACTATGATGATGATGATGATGATGATGATGATGACGATGATGATAATGATGATGATGATGATGATGATGATGATGATGATGATGATGATGCTGGTGGTGCTGATGATGGTACTGATGATGGTGGTGGTGGTGGTGGCGGTGGTTGTGATGCTGTTGCTGAAGACGATTATGATGGTGATGGTGATGGTGATGATGATGATGATGATGATGATGATGATGATGATAATGATGATGATAATGATGGTGGTGGTGATGATGATGATACTGCTGATGTTGATTTGCAAGACGCGGATGATTATATTGGTGGTGGTGGTGATGATAGATATGAGGATCTTAATTGTGTCGATGCTTCGGCATGATGATGACGATGATGATTCATGTATTGATTGTATGTGCGATACTTGATCGAATGATTGGTTGATTGATCGAATGATTGATCGATCTATCGATCGATGATGTTGACACTGATGATGATGATGATGACGTCGATGATGATGCCGCTGATGATGATGGTGGTGATGACAATTATGATGCTGATAATGAGGATGATGATGATTATGATGATGATGGTGGTGGCAGTTGGTGGTGGTGATGCTGATGATGATGATGGTGGTGGCGGTGGTGGTTGTGATGCTGCTGCTGAAGACGATTCTGATGGTGATGGTAATGATGATGATGCTGCTGATGATGATGATGCTGATGCTGATTTGCAAGACGCGGATGGTTATATTAGTTGTGGTGATAATGATGGAGATGAGGATGATAATGGTGCTGATGCTTCGGCATGATGATGAGGATGATGATTCATGTATTGATTGTATTTGCCATGCTTGATCGATGATTGGTTGATTGATCGATTGATTGATGGATCGATCGATCGATGATGATGATTATGACGATGATAATGATGCCGATGATGATGATAATGATGATGATGATGATGATGATGATGATGATGATGGTGGTGGTGATGATGATGATGACGATGCTGATTCTGATTATGATCATGCTGATGCTGATGATGATGATGATGATCAGGAGGAGGATGACGGTGGTGGTGGTGGTGATGATGATGATGATGATGATGGTGATGATGATGATGCTTATGCTGATGCTGCTGCTGATGATGATGATGATGATGATGATGATGATGATGAGGATGAGGATGAGGATGAGGATGAGGATGAGGATAATGATGATGGCAATTCAGCGGAGGAGGAGGAGTAGGAGGAGGAGGAGGAGGAGGAGGAGGAGGAGGAGGAGGAGGGGGGGGCGATTGCAGCATCCTTGAATGCATCATTGCCAAAAGCGTCAGCGTCAGCAGGTGTATGGGGAAGTGGGAGGAGATGGGGAGGGGGAGGTGGAGAAAAAGGAGGCGAACTCCTCCTCTTCCTGATTCCTGATTCCTGATTGCGCGAGGAGTCTCACTGCCGCCCCCGTCCTCCTCCTCCTCCTCCTCCTCCTCCTCCTCCTCCTCCTCTTCCTTCTCCTCCTCCTCCTCCTCCTCCTCCTCCTCCTCCACCTTCTCTTCCTCCTCCTCCCAAGCCCAACTTTCTCGGCCGTGGCTTTTGGCGCTCGGCTGGCGGTTGTGAGCTCGACTCCCTCTCGGCGCAAGCACTACACAACGCTGATTTTCACGAAAACATAAGAGAAATGGGGGAACTGGAGGGGAATAGGAAAATTGAGAGCACATGCGGACATATGGGAACTCTCGTAATCTGTGTCGATTTATTTTCTGTCCCCCTGGGCCCGCTTGAGTAAATCACGTTTCCCCTTCTCCTACGAGGCCGGACACAGGCGTGAGGAGACAGGGAGAGGAGGGAGAAAGGAGGAGGCAGGAGGAGGAGGAGGAGGAGGGCGAGGAGAAGGAGTAGAGGGATGGGGCAAACAGTGCTCTGTTCGAAACGAGTGCCCAACCAAGAAAGGGTCCCCTGGGCCCGCTTTAATAGAAAACGCTCCTCCCAGCTCCATGCGATGGGGGCAGGAGGAGGAGGAGGAGGAGGAGGAGGAGGAGGAGGAGGAGGAGGAGGAGGAGGAGGAGGAGGAGGAGGAGGAGGAGGAGGAGGAGGAGGAGGAGAAGGGAGGAGGAGGAGAAGAGGGAGGAGGAGGAGGAGGAGGAGGAGGAGGAGGAGGAGGAGGATGAGAGTAGGATGAGGAAGGAGGAGGAGGAGGAGGAGGAGGGAGGAGGAGGAGGAGGAGGAGGAGGAGGAGGAGGAGGAGGAGGAGGGAGGCGCACGCCGCGGGACGCGTGCCCCGACAGAGAGAGGAGAGGGGGAGGCGCTCCTCCGCCCCCCCCCCCGCAGCTG